CGGACCGATTCAGTCCGACTCGTTCAGACTGGTTTGGTTCAACTGATTCACTGAAAAGATCCGATTCAAAAGAACAGTTCATCACGAATCCGCACATTGCCATTACAACATCCACTCAGCCAACAAACGCAGTATGTCACAAAAGTATCACAACTCTTTAAAAGCGCGATTTAAAGCGCAGTTTCGTGCATATAGAGTTAGTAGGCTATCGTTTTAAAGAAATGACTCGATCACTGAAATAAATCTTGTTTGCATCGTCGCACAAAAGCTTCGTATTACCTGACTTGCTTTGTGAAACTGTTTCTTCAGTCCGGCCACTGACATTCTTATCCGCGTCCGTCCGTTGTTTCACATGAACAAACGTGTCGGGATGGTTATCTCTGCCCGCGAGTCCACATTGCTCTCCACCCTCTTCCGTCCGTCGCAATATTTTGCACCTTGGGACATTGCCCAGATTTGATTGGTGGGGCTGTGCTGAGATCCTGCAGCTATGACGGTCCTAGAGGTCACTCAAGATATAGGGCAGATATAGGGCAACCTTAGCCTACATAAAGAATTAAATTCTTAAAGTTTCCATAAGTAACCAGGCTATGGAAAGGCCAGGGCTGGTTGTCAAGCTTTTTACTTCAGTGAATTTTTAAAAAAGTAAATTTGTGTATATTGTGTATATATAAAGATACAGTTTATTTAGCCTAATACAAATTGACCAATTGTGGGGCATGTTGTCACAAAGTATGGGGTAAGTTGTCACAATGGAACATTGCATTAAACAGCACATAATGGCATTTTAAGCTAAATTTAATCTGTGAAAAAGTATGAAACAAACAAAAAAAATCGATATTTAAACAGCATAAATGATAATGTACAAAAACAATTTTTGTCCACAATTTTTTATTAAATAAATTTATATCATACACTACCAGTCAAAAGTCATTAAGATTTAAAAAAAAAAAAAATGCTTATGCTCATCAAGGCTGCATTTATTTAATAAAAAAATACAGCTGAAACAGTAATACTGTGAAATTTATAGTTTTAAATAAATATTTTCTATTTAAATATATTTTTTAAATGTATTTTATTCCTGTGATGGCCAAGCTGAATTTTCAGCAGCCATCAGCAAGGATGCTTTAAATTGTTCAAAAGTGACAGTAAAGATGTTTATAATGTTACAAAAGATTTCT